TCAATATATACCATGCAAAAGGATATAGCCCATAATATCAAGTTATCGCCTGCAAATCAATAGGAAGAAATAAAAAATAACACAACAAAATAATATGTAAAGGATTAGAAGGAGCAATTTTCAACAGAAGAAAATAAATAGCAATATTCAATAAATGCATGCAAAAATGGATAACTTTACTAGTCATTAGAAGAAAATAAATTAAAGAAATAGAACTGCCACACTAAATATGATTTTAAAAATTAACAAAAAGATAGAGTCCAGAGTGCTACTAGGGTACTTTAGTTATATTTTGAAGATATTAGCCAATAAAAATACTTGTAAGAGTGTAAATGATAAGTTTAAAATGATGCTTTTGCAGAATTATACATTACACTCTTTAGAATGCAAAGATCTATCACGTGGCAACGATGAAATGAGCAATACAGTATACTCTCCCTTGATTTTCCTGTAACTGTTTCTTAAAATGATTTCTCAATGAGCAAAAGTTAGTTGTGGAATAATATCTTTAGAATAACTTCTCTGTTTAAGACAACAATAATCAAGGTTATCTCCGGGCAGTGAAATTAGAATATTTCCACATTTCACCCTATATACCACAGTTTACATACATTTTACAATATGTATTACTTTGTAATAAGAACAATACAAGCTAACTATAACATTTGGATTAAAAATATAAAATATGCCATTAGAAAATTAGGTGGAAAAAGTAGGAAGTGTCACTAGGCTTATAAATCTGTTATCATTGAATACAAACATTTTATTTAATTTGCATAAATAAATAAAATTAATAATATATTTGTATATATGGAGACCATAAAAGCAACTTGAAATCTCACTAATTTTCAGCTTATTTCTCAGTGAATATAGTACTGTGTTACCTGTATCGTGAAAAATATATTACCATAAAATTTATGTTGATACTTTTTAACTTGGAAAATAATACATGCTGAAAACCAAATATTTAGAGAATAACCAAATTAAAGTCCACATATATTCTCACATCCCATACATAATTACTTTCAAAGAATGTCAAAAAGCATAGAATTGGATTGATCAATAATCCTTGCATATTATGCAGCACTGTCTCACTAATGAATGTATATCCCTCTTTTATCTATTTATTTGTTCCTTTATTTGTAATAATAATCAATCAATAAGAATTGAATCATCTTAATTACACTGAAGTCCCAACTGAACAGACTTGAGCACTAGATTACTAACAAAAGCTTAAATCCATTTACATGATTCTCCCATATCTTGATCCACTTTCCTCAATGTCAACAATAATTATCCTAAAAATTTTGTTAGTTTGCTTGCCATATATATAGCCCTAAGCTACTCGTTATTTAGTTGCACTTGTTTATAAATATTTTTAAAAGACTATCGGAACTGATGTAATGTCGGGGCTTTCAATTGATTGGGATGATACTCTTTCGGCTGTACCTTCAGACCAGAGACTGTCTCCCCATGAAACTGTTGAACTTATCTGCACAATAAGATGCTGGACTCTATGTTTTGTAGATGCTTGCAAGGAAAAAAAGTCTCAACTGAATTTGATCTGTGGTAATGCAACAAGATGGAAGAATCCACCGCGGGGGCGGGGGGGGGGGGAAGGAGCGGGTTTTGGGGAGGGGAGGGGGGAATCCCAGTGCCTGTAAAACTGTGTCGCATGATGCAATGTAATAAAAAAAAAAATTTAAAAAAAAGACTATCGGAACCAATAAAATTTACTCATAGTATTATATGCATATTATTGCTAAAATTCCACTGGGTAAACAGAATTATTCTCCATTTTTATTTCGGGACTTCTACTGCTGACACTTTGTTGTTATGCCTTCTCAGAACACTTATAGTTCCCCTGCTAGAAAATTTAAGTATTATATATAGTGTCAAGAGACCCATTACTCTCATTTACAACATGTTAGCACATTTCCATTTTAGTAAACAATCTTCTATGGTAAAATGTAAATGACTATCACATACTTACAATATAACTTTTGCAAGTATCCCAATTTTTCACATTTAGGTTACTTGTAATTTCTTTCTATGATAAGCTTTATGATGTGTATACCTCTTCTCTTATTGTCCTAAGCAATATCCGAAGTTGAACACAAATTTGTGTAAGGCATCTTCAAAAAGCTGGTGGAAAATGTGTGCTACTAAAAAAATTAATGGATTTCAATTTACCTCACCAAAACATAAGTTTATCTAATTCTACTTTTCTAATATCTTTTTGAAATTCTTGCATACAAGGCAATGACATAGGATGGCATAGTTTGTATTTCTCAACAATTTGTACATCAAGTGTGCTTATTACAGTAGTTTTTACAACAGCAAAAGCCTGTCCAACATTAAGAGATAGAGTGAAATTACATGTTAAAATCATGACATAGCCACACAGTCACTACCTTTATGAGCTGCTCATATTTACACTGTCAACTGAAAAAATAGATTAAATGGAGGTATGATTCACTTTTGAAAGAGAAAATAAACACCTGTGAAAGAATGTGGAGGAAGATACACCAAAAACTTGAGATGGGCTATATCTGGATATTAAGATTACTTGAGAATTGTGATTTTCATCATTTGCTTGTATTTTCGAGAGTTTTCAATGGCACTTGATTGGCTATATATGTAATAAAAATATGTTTTCGGTGCAATTGCTTGACTATTTTTCTACAAGAAAAATACATTCGTATTGTAGAAACTTTAGAAATAAACACAATACAAAGAAATCACACTGAATTCTACCTGCCCAATAATAATGAGCTTATGATCTGCAATGTGTTACTTCTTATCAATTTATTTTTAAATATATTTTTAAATAGCTGGAGTAACATTTTATGTAATGCCATAGGCACTCATTTCATTTAACATTACACAGTAATATTTTAATGAAAAATATTCCTTTAGATATGAAGAGTCTATTTAATCAGTCCCTTAAAGCTATACTCAGGGTTTTCTTCTTTCACTATAGCAAATACGTGTGTGAGGAAGACCTTTGTGTATCAACTATTCACATTAGATGATTTCCTTGAATGAATTCCTTAAAATGAAACTATTATATAAAAAGAGTCAAAATGTTTTATCTTTCTTGACAGATATTCTTAATTTTTTATTATAAGGCAGAATGTATGTTCTAGAGAAAATATTTTAAAACAAAACCTGGATTACTAGTCCATCATTAGTAGTCTGATTAAATAAAACTGATATAAAATCATCTATCTTGAAATTGTGGAATATGTCCTTACAATACGATGCTGGATTCTCTGCACTGACATGCCTACAATTTTGGGAAACACTTCAATAGTGGCATGGTGGACTAATCACTGTTCATGTAGGAAAACCAATTGTAATACTAGAGGCGAAGTCAGTAGTGGTGGAGGAGATAAAGAGAGGGGGAGGGGAATCCTAGAGCCTATGGAATGTATCATTAAATAATAAATACATAAATAAATAACCTGTCTAGTGTAAGTCACAGTTATTGTGATAATCCAATTAAATAAAACAGGTCTTTTTAAATTCACATTAAATGTTAATTTCTTAGGAATGCTTTCCTTGACTTTCTACACACATTATCCTATACTTACTTTCTTCATGGTCTTGCCACAATTAATAAACGACTGATCATTTGTAAACTATTTCTCTCAGATAACATTTGCTATCTCCGTTAAAACAGATCTAGTACACAATTGGTGCTCAATAAACACTTGTTGAATGCATGAATAAAAGATGTTACAAAACAGTGTAGAAACTGTACTATGTAGTTACAAGGTTTTGCACTTTATTATTATTCTTATTTATTATCGTGTAAATAACGCTGAACCTTTAGAGATTCTTTGACTAACTAATCTCATTATGTGGCTTCTATGCTTTTCACCCTAACCTCAGGCATAAGAGGCAATATTGTTGGAAACATTTGGTGGGAGCTGATACTTAGATAACCAAGTAATTAGTCCTCAAATCTTCCTCAAGCAAGATGGAATTTAAAGAGCTGTAGTTACCATTAGTCTGATACGAGGCAGGACGTATCAGGAACGCAGGCAGGAACCCAGGACGTCAATGATAGATGAAAAAGCAGGTGGTTCCTAGCAGTCAGAAACAAACTAAGGCAAGACTCAGTGATAAGGGATGAAAACAGAAAGGAAAGTTAAATTGCAAGAACTGATACTCAAAACATAAAGCTAAGACTCTAAAGCAAAGAGTAATTAAATTCGGTGCTCCTTTTTTCTTGCAAAAATAGAATAGTGTACCTGCCTCCATATATGTGAACAGCGGGATGGTATGGCTAGTTGAACAATGAAAGCTGTGAATACATACTTTCGTTCTCATAATGACAGTATAAATTGAGAACACTTCTATATAACACCCCTCAGCTTTTTAACAGCAGATTCAGCATGGTGACTAGTACCATGGACTCTTCAACCACCTTAGTCATGTTCAAATTCCAAATATTTTATTTATTAGTTGTGTATTTTTACATGAATTATTTTACCTGTTTATGTGTGCCAGGCTACTCATCTGTAAAACAGAGTTAATGATGACATCTGCCTCATAATGGCTTACAGTGAAGATTAAATAAGTTAATGCATGTAAGGACTATAGAACAGTGCCTGGACATAGCAAGTGCCATGTTGAGTGTTGTTATTATTATTATCATATAAGTCACATATGATGAAATAAAAATTCATACTATTTAAAAATCGACAAATATACTTTATCTGAAATACCTAAGCAGGAATTTTCCCAAAATAAAAATTTCACATGCACCCAAATACAGTTGACTGTACAAAAACTATGAGCATTTAATAAAGTAATAAAATTTAATGCAGCAATCCTGTTTGCTCTGTAGAAGCTTTTCATGAATACTATCTTAAAAAGTTGTAGGGACTAATCACAAAAAAAAAACAAGATAGAGAAGGTTGGGTTTGAAAAGGCTTGGCATGGGGATAGGGTGGAAATCATGGACTATAGAACATGTTAGAATACCTGGATATTGCAGACACTGGAAGACCTGAATGTTAGAACAGCACACTGAAGCCACTGGAAGACATGGATATTGAGCCCATCAATGGAAGACCTGAAGATGTTGGAAGACGTGAAGATGCTGGAAGATGCAGAGATGCAGGAAGACGAGCAGATGCTGGAAGCCCTGGAGATGCTGGAAGACCTGTAGGTGTAGGAAGACATGGATTTTCCGGAAGACATGGATTTTTCTGGAAGACATAGATTTTCTGGAAGACGCAGATTTTCTGGAAGACGTAGATTTTCTGGAAGACGTGGCTTTGCTGGAAGACAAGGATTTTGTTGGAAGACATGGAGTTCTCTGGAAGACCTGGATTTTTCTGGAAGACCTGGATTTTTCTGGAAGACCTGGATTTTTCCGGAAGTTGTGGATTTTCTGGAAGACATGGATTTTCTGGAAGACGTGGCTTTGCTGGAAGACATGGAGTTCTCTGGAAGACCTGGATTTTTCCGGAAGTTGTGGATTTTCTGGAAGACATGGCTTTGCTGGAAGACATGGATTTTCTGGAAGACATGGATTTCCTGGAAGACATGGATTTTCTGGAAGACCTGGATTTTCTGGAAGACATGGCTTTGTTGGAAGACATGGATTTCCTGGAAGCTAAGGATTTAGTGGAAGACACAGATTTCCTGGAAGACATGGATTTCCTGGAAGCTAAGGATTTAATGGAAGACAGGGATTTCCTGGAAGGCATAGATTTGCTGGAAGACATGGATTCTCAGGAAGACCTGAATTGTCCGGAAGACGTGGATTTGCTGGAAGACTGGGAGATTGCGGAAGACATAGATATTCTGGAAGACACAGATCTTCAGGAAGACAGTGATTGGAAGATCTCCAGGAAGTCCTGGAGGTTACTGGAAGACATGACTTTTCTGGAAGACATGCTTAAGTGGAAGACCTAGATTTAGGGGAAGACACCGATTTTATCTGGAAGACATGGGGTGGTAACTGGAAGACTTGATTTGGTGGAAGACAAATTAATTGGAAGACCTGGATTTTTCTGGAAGACATGAATTGACTGGAAGACCTTGATTTTATGGAAGACGTAGATTTCTCTGGAAGACTTGAATTGATTGGAAGATCTAGATTTCCTTCTGGAAGACACTGATTTACTGGAAGACGTGGACTTTTCCGGAAGAACTTGATCTATTGGAAGACTTGGATTTGGTGGAAGACGTAGATTCTTCTGGAAGACATCAGCTGACTGGAAGACCTGGATTTCTTTCTGGAAGACACTGTTTGGAAGACTCAGACCTTTCTGGAAGAACTAGATCTATTGGAAGACTTGGATCTGGTGGAAGACGCAGATTTTCCTGGAAGACGTGAACTGGTTGGAAGACCTTGAAATTGTTGGAAGACGTGGATTTTCCTGGAAGACCTGGATTTTCTGGGAAGAACCCGGATTTTGTGGAAGACGTGTAACTGCTGGAAGACTGAATTTCCTGGAAGACTTGGAGATTACGGGAAGACGAGGAACTTCTGGAAGACACAGATTCTCTGGAAGACATGGATTTTCTGGAAGACCTTGAGGTTACTGGAAGACTTGAAGTTGATGGAAGACCTGGAGTTGTTGGAAGACCTTGACACTGGCGCCACTGGAAACCCTGGACAGTGGAAACATTGGAAGTACATAATTTGGAGACATTGGAAGCCTTGGTTTTGGGGAACATGGTCTACTACAAGCATTGGGGACATGAAAGGCATTATGTATTGTGATACTGTATATTGGAAGCCATAAACACTGGATTACCTGGATATATTTGACACATTGCAAACCCTTTGCTTCAGAATTCCTAAACACTGGCAGATACGAACTGTAGAATTTAGAACCGATACAATTAGAGGCTCTGGCTGTTAGTAGACTTTGGGAAACTTGTATATTGACACATTCATCTCAAAAGAAGTAGAATTTGGAAGATTAAAGTTTAATGATATTAGATTTCAAGGATGTTGTGAGCCCTAGATATTAGAAGACTTGAATATTCAGATTATTTAAAGTTCTGGATGTTAACATTCAATTCAGATACCAGAATATTAGAACACATAGATTTTGAAAAATCTGGTTCTTGGAGATATCAAAAGACCTAGGCAATTAGAGATGAAAAACACCATAAAATCAGGACTTAGGAGACATTAAAATATGTGGAAACTAAATAATGTGAAAGCTAAGAGTTATCTGAAAAGCTACACTTAGGCAGGGAAATACACAGCTCCAGAAGATCCACATATAAGAAACACTGGAGGATTGGAATAGTAACCTGAAACCTAAATGGTGATACCCAGATCCTGAAGAATAATTTTGGAGATACTGGAAGACCTAGATTTTAGATGACTTCAGTATTAGGCAGATTAGAAAACACAGACATTGGAGATGCTGTAGGTCCGAGAAATGGAAGACTATGATGTTCTCCTAGCTGGAAAATTTGACAACCAGAGATGAAGCATGCTGCAGAGTTGAGAAGATTCGAGTTATAGACACTGAAGAATCACAAGATATAATCATGGACAATAATGGCAACATTGAAAACTTGCATACTAGGACCCAGGACCTAGATATCACATTAAAAACACATCAATAACGTTAACTATTCATATAGTGCTTATATCCACAACATTTCTTCTACTGCAAAGAAAAGAAGAACATTTGAAAAGATCACAAAGAAGGAGCAGTGAAATTTAATTTTGAATGGGTTGTAATTTATCTTCAAAGTCTCAATAAGCTGGTTTCTGGGGCCTTTATAGGTTGATACGATGAGAATCTGGAATTATCAAGGAATACACAGTATCTAAGCTAGGGATCTAGTTAGCACAATGTCAGAGATCAACAAACATTTTGTAGTAAATATTTAAAACCTTCTCCAGTCACAGGGTTTTAGTTGCAAAAAATTGTGCCTTCCTGTACACCAACAATGAATAACTGAGTAGTGATGCTTTATTACAATAAGATATTTGAAAAATAGCTGAGCTACATTTGGCCCAGCCCTCACTTTGCCAACCCCAGTTATAGGTATCACCTCCAGGATATGGTAAACTTAAAACTCATTCCAGGCTAGCACTCACGTGCAAGAGAACAGACACAGCGATTTCAAGAGCAATGGTAAAAATACCATACAATATGATGTAATGAAACTAAAAGAGATGAGGTTAACAAGAATCTAATAGTGAGTTTTATATCTCTAGGCAATTCTTTCAGGTGCCCAAACTGGAAGCTTGGTATTTACAGTCAAAATTAACCGGTTTGCATTCAAGACTCCAAACAGGGAGGGGGGGTTGCTGAGGGACAGCAAGAATGTCCAAAATCAGTAGGCTGAATGCCTGAGGACAGAATGAGAGAAGAAACCGTCTCCCTTGAGATTGGGAAGATAAGGAGAGAAACAAAAAAGATTAGAGCTTGCTAGGTTCATCTAAACCACTCCAGCTTCTGGTAAATATATAAAATTTCTGATCTTAGCCACAGGAATTTAAGCGTCAAGCGTAGAAGATCACAGTTGAGCCAAAAGCAGAAGGCCCTTAGCATTCCCTCAGGAAGACAGTGACTATCGCATTAGTAAAGAGAACACAATAGGCAAAAGCAATAGGGTATAAATGGATTAGAATTGAAAAATCAAGTCATGGGATATACACATATATATAATGGATAACTACTGAAGGTTTTTTTTTTTTTTAACAAAGAACTATTAAGATGAGAAGATCAGAACCATGCACCAAAAAAAAAGTTAGTTTGTCAGCAAGGGACTGGATAGCAGATATTAATATGCATGTGGACTGAAAGTAGTCCAAGATAAAGGGGTCCAAATGTGAAGTCGCTAAAGACATACAGATGACTGGCAGTGAGGGCATGAGTCAAGGCAGTGATGGTTCTGCTGCTCAGATACATAGTGCTATGGTTTGGATAAATACCAAGCATTCTTAATCCTCACAAGTTCTTGAATGGTATCACATATACAAAGAAGTTCAGAAGCCAGTTTTAAGGACTTTTCCTTGCCTCGTAAGATTAATTAGACTTACAGTTTGTCTCAAAAGCAGCTAGCTAAGTTAGTTAAGTTGATGATCAGAAAAAAAAATTATTCCTGTATAGCCTTATGCTTACCCTGGTATCAGAGTAAATTATCTTTAAAGTGAAATGAAATAGATGCACTGTTTTCCAGAGAGCAGGAACATAGCCATGTCAAAAAAAGCTAATAGCTTAAGCCACTGTATCAATACATTTCATGCAGTGATGACCATTTTATAATTAAAGCATAAATAATCATTATAAGTCATGGAGTAATTTAAATACAAAGGAATCACTGTTTCAGGGATCACTCATCAGCAAAGTAAAATATTAAAGTGCTTTATTCTAAAAGCAATCATGTATATTTTATTTTGAGGGTAATTAAGAAGATAGAAATACATTAAGACTTTGAAAAACACACGAATAAATGATCATAATGTAGTTATGCAATGCTTATTTGTGTTATAATAATAATAGCAACAATGTATTGAGCACTTACTATGCGCCAGGCACTGCACTAAGCATTTCATATGACATCATAGCAATCCCATAATGTAAGTATTTTTATTCCATTTTACAGATTAGAAATTGAAATCAGGAATGATTAAGAAACATGATAACTGGCTGGGTAGAATATTGAAAGCAGATATCTGAGTCCGAAGCCTAGGCTCCATGCTGATCCCTCCTCACACTTTACTAACCGAGGGGTTATATTGCCAGGACTATGCACACTCACCCAAACAGAAGGTCCTCCCCACATGGACAGGAGGTTAGTGACAAAGTCCTCACTGTAGGTTCCCATGTTCTTATTGTGACTGCCAAGTCATCAAGAGCCAACATTGAGTATTTGAAATAATAGATTAATTAACTCTTTGGTTTTATGTAGCAAGGCAAGAAGGATGAAATGCAATGTCTCAAAGACATAAGAGCCATAATTTTTCATATCTGTTATTGATATTAAACAACTGTATTATTATTCTTTCCCCATTTTCCTATATGGCTTTGTAATTTCCAAGAACATATTGCTCTGATCAGAACACAATTATTTCTGAATTCTTAAGGAAACATATCAAAAGCTGCCAAAAGGCAAAAATACTATGTAACATTCAGTGATTAGTATATTTCACATCACAAACATTGTTCGCACAAGCTTTTAGATCATGCACACAATCAAAGCTCTTTATTAACAATCAGGTAGCAGCAACTATTTTATCCAATCATGTCATTTAAAGAATCTTCTCTTTGTTTTCAACATAAAACTTTAAAACAAAAGATTCTTTCAAAATCCTATGCCGATTTTCTAATATTTGCTGCATTTCATCAGTGGACTCCCTGAGTCCAAACCTCAACTGACTTCCTCCAGGCTTCCTAAAAACAATTAAATCATCTCATGTGATTTTTGACAGTCCTGTTCAAAAGCAGCATTTTCCTTCATTATTGTATATAAACTGCATTATTCCGTGTTATATTTATGTTGTTTCCAGCTAACCAATATCTCCATCTGGTGCAACAGCAGCAGCCAACAATCCTCCTTTCTTTCTACATCCTAGCTCTTTGTACATCATTATTTAATGTCATCATGGGGCAGTGCTGCAGTGGCAGCACAAGTAACAGACACAAGGAACAGCAACATTAGTGAAACTGCCTCCACATTCCCAGAATCGTTGTTCAACTGAGTTCAAAATGGACATCAGGTGGGCAAGTGTGTAAGTAGCCAAAAGAAAAAGCAGATGCACCATGAATCTTTCCCAAGAATTCTGAGAAACGGTTATCAGCTGCATAGTTCTGCCTTGAGGTTATTTTCATCTGTTAAATCTTTGGAAAATTCCAAACATCCAAAATTAACAATGGCATCTTTTAAAACCATGACTGATTCCCATAAATTATATATGTGAAATCAGGAAGAACATTTTCTAAAATCTGTAATTAAGTTCTCTATCACCGTCAAGGAAAAGTGTGAAAATTCCGTTTCTAGAGAATATTCAAACCACTGCAAATGCCAGGGACGATGACAGAGAGAACCTATGGAAATGAACTGCTTAATCATCTCTTCTTTCTTGATTTTGAGTAAGGTGAATCCAGGAAATCTGTCATCAGGTCATCATCAACTGATCAACAGCAACCATGTACAAAACACAGTAACTTATGTCAAATTTGTCATTTCTGGTAAGACAGGACTTAATCTTAATTGAAGATAAAAGAAATTTAGGATCAAAAGAACAAGATCAAATGACCCAACCAGAATCAGTAGCCTTTTCCCTAAGTCCTATACTTAAGTTCCTGGAGCCCTTCTAGTATCTGTGCTAGAAGACCCATTGGAGAAAAAAAGAAAGAAAAAAGAAAAAGAAAAAAAAAATGGAGCATGAAAGGAAGTATTGTGAAAACCCAGAAAACTGGTCTATTCACTAAAACTAAATCACTGTAGTGAATCCTGATGATGTTTTACAAATTTTACATTAGCAATAGTTCTTATTTGGGCAGTTAATTTCTACGTATCTACTGGTCTCAAAGCTTAAGACAACGATATACCAAGGAAAATGCTGCTCATGACAGTAGCAACAGGAAAAGAACAAAACGAAGGGGATGCTGTTGGCTGAGACACAAGCTCAGCCTTCCGCTCCACTTCCTTTGGCCAGCCCATGAAGCGCAGCTTCAGAACCATCCGTCTGAATTCCAAGGTCCAGGTGCTGTATGGGCTGTTTTTGCCTCTTCTTGCAGAACAGGTTTGAACGAGATGGTGGCTCCTCCGGCCTCTTCCCCCCTCCCCGCTGTTAAGCAATGAGAGAGAACATTAAGGCTTTTTC